CCGCACCAGCTTCTATTCAATCCCTGCTCTTCTCGGGTCAAATATTGGCCGGTATCACGTTCATCCTCATACTCCACAACACAAGCTCCGACAGTGACGCGCTTCTTCGCTTTTTGCTTGACTCGTCCGCCTATCCCAATGATTTCCTGTCTGAAGTACCCCGGCTTTTCTTCATCACGACTGTTACTTCTTTCTAAAGACTGATCCCGGAGAAGTTCATCCTGAGGACTGAGGTGACCATGTGCGCGTGCATCGCCCTGATGATGGTTGTGCGGACTTCCTGAGGGTGACGACTCGTCTGCCTCACACTCCACCTCCAGCTCAATCTCCTGAGCAGCTAAACAATCCTCCTCCCTCCCGCATTTCACCCCTTGACATCCCTCTCCAATCCCTGTGCCCAGGCCTCCAAGATATGTGCTATACCGAGTGCGCCAAGACCACACACGGCGATATGTAGTGTCGCTACTACGTAGGGTCTTGCCGCATGGATAGCAAAGCCATACCACATCTTCGCAAGAGCATGGCGAATGTATAAAAGCTGATGCTGTGAAACTGGAAAGGTCTGGCGGCACCTGCGTTTCAGAAGAAGTTGTAGTGGAAGGACTGCGGGTAAGATGGGCGGCCAAGGGTGCCGTACGGCAGGTGGTACAGAGGCGACGAACGCGATCTTTGAGAGTGTTTCTGGTAGGGGTCTTGATGGTGCAATTCTGTGGATGCCATTAGTCGAACTCATCAATGCCACAAAGCTCCACTTCGGTCATACCCTGCATACGATCCTGGAGCATCTCCGACACTCCGCTACCATATCCCGAGCACATCTACCAACCTTGCCCCTGACCAGTCTACCGGAAGTCAAGGTTCCCTGACTCACAAGCCGGAGCACAGATCTCACGCTGTCAGGAATAGCCGCCCTGCCATCCAAGAGGTCCGACAAAGTTTCAACATACTCGTTCTCGCAACGAAGGGTCTGCTTCACCAGCTGATGGCGATATGGTGCTAGATTGGCATGGAACTGACGGCAAGTTCGGGAGAGGGCATAGAGCGTATTGAGATCGACTTGTCGGGCGATTTCCTTGACAATTCTGAAGCTTCAGTCAGCACCCAGGTGACTTTGGCAGAAACTGTCGGTCAGCAAGTCATACGGATAGCAACTCAAAGCAGCTGAAAATCCATTTCGATTCAGTATCTCATGAGAGTCGTCATTTTTTGTATGATTGTGCATCGAATCAGCAGAATGATCATTGGCAGGAAGAGTTGGTGGATCAGAGCCAATAGCCTTCAACTTTGACAGCGCAGGTTTATCGGGTTGAAGGTACCCTTGATATGTGCCCTCGTGGGTTCTAACGTAGACATCGTGGTCATAATCGACAAATACAACCATTATGCCATCAAACGGAAGGGAGAAAGAGGACGCGCTCCGCACGAGGCAGCCCCACAGATGGTAGACTCGGTCTGGAGCAGAAGAACCATTGAAGGATCAAATCTAATATAGACAGCTATCACACCGATAATAGGGAAAGGCTGTCACTTTTGTATAGCAGCCATCCGTGCAGAATATACAGTGGAATGATGCGGGCGAGGACGATCACTCCGTTGTCGGCGCGGGGCAACGGGGCGCCAAAATCGTGGTTCGTTTCGGGAATGGAGAAGCCGAAGGCGAACGGAAGACCTTAAGCGTGACAAGGCTCCCTTTGAGGGTTTGTATACACAGTCTCTATGACAATACTGCTGGTTACCCAGAGCATCAGCGTCTCGATGAGAGATGGTGGTTGTGATATGACGCCAGTGTCCCTCCATCTTATCGGGAAGTCACGCGTATCCCTCCCGCACTAAACCAGAAGCAGTACAGCTGCCCCTCATTCCCGAAGAGGAAGGTGACCCCAACTTCTCCATGTTTTCTGTTTCCTCGGGGAGATGTCCAACGTGTCGTCGCAAACAAGAGATATTTGATGCAGCTAATGGGGGTTATTGATGATGACAGGAAGATACTTCAAGCATAGTATACCTCAATTAATGTCATGTATGTTTCTTCTGCGAATGTCGCAAAGGTATTCCCAAGTTCAACCTACCCCAATACTGATAAGATTACGGTTGGACTCCACGACGGCGTAAAGGAGCGGAGCATCCCGATAGTAGTAATGTAGTAGTAGGGCCCTATGAGTCTTCATCTGTTGTCCTACTTAAGAGTCGCCCGCCCCTCATCGTTTAACCACCGTCTTCTGCTTGCTCAAGCTCACGGTCTACTATTTTTCGTTTTCCCTTGTCATTTCTTCAAAATGCCTCTCAACTCCCACGCCGTTTATTCCAAACTGAATCCGGACTTTGTCCCGTTTGCCAGTAGAAGGAGTACTGTCCACAGTACCAAAGGCATCGTAACATGTACTCAACCTCTGGCAGCCGCTGCCGGCCATAGAATCTTGAAGGAAGGAGGAAATGCTGCGGTAGGTGTGCAATGGGACATTTATCCGGACATCAGTTCCACTGACTATTATGTATCACCAGGACGCTGCTGTGGCGGTGGGTAAGTGCTGAATGCAATGAGCCATGCTGACTAGATCTGACTCGTTTCAATAATAGCCGCCGCATTGAACGTCACTGAGCCTTCATCAACCGGGATTGGTGGAGATATGTTCTGCCTCTTCTATGATGCAAAGTCAAAGAAAGTCCATTCACTCAACGGTTCTGGCCGATACCCCGCCAACGCGACGCTCGAGAAGATCAGAAAGGATTTGAACCTCGGTGTCAATGAGAAGGGGAGCATCCCAATGACCAGTGTCCTATCGGTGACCACCCCCGGCGCAGCTGCTGGATGGGTAGACACAGTGGAGAGATTCGGCAGTGGCAAGCTGTCCCTGGAGCAGATACTAACACCAGCAATTGAATTGGGCGAGCAAGGATTCGCGGTGTCAGAATTATCCTCCTACTTTGTAAGTTTGTCCTTTTTCATTTGTCCAGCATTTGTAGTATAATGTACCATTCTGACTGCCTTTCAAGTGGCGTGAGAGTGAAGATCTTCTACGAAATGCATCTCCAAATTTTCGGGAGATGCTCAAGCCTGATCCGAAAGCCAAGGATGGTGCTAGAAGCCCCCTTCCTGGTGAAATTATGAAGAATCCGACATTGGCCAAGACCTTCCGAAAGCTTGCTGCAGAGGGTAAGAAGGGGTTCTATGAAGGCGAAGTTGCAGAAGAGCTGGTCAAGGTCGTCCAGGGCCTGGGTGGCTATATGGCTCTGGATGATCTTAAGTATCATGCAGAGACCGGAACACAGAATACAGAAGCTATCTCACTCAAATTCACGGGCCAAGATATAGTCAAAAAGCAGACCGCTGGAACGGACGGTGAAGTAAACCAAGGGGTGGAGATATGGGAGCACCCACCCAACGGCCAGGGCATCGTTGCTCTCATGGCCCTGGGTATTCTTGAGGAACTCGAACGGACGGGAAAGATCCCTGTATTTACCGAGGATCAGCATAACTCGACAGAGTACCTTCACGCTGTTATCGAAAGTCTTCGGATTGCTTTCGCCGATGCTTCATGGTGGGTCACGGATCCAGATGTGGAAAAGGTACCGTCGAAAGAGCTGATCTCCAGGGAGTACCTGGCCGAACGGGCGAAGCTGTTCAACCCGGAGAAAGCGGCAGCCATCGTCGATCACGGCAGTCCAGCTCACAATCACTGCGACACGGTCTACTTCGCCGTGACTGATGAAGAGGGCAATGGTATTTCCTTTATCAACAGTAACTATGCTGGGTTCGGTAGTGGGATCATTCCGAAAGGTTGTGGCTTCACGCTACAGAACCGCGGAGCCAACTTCTCTCTGGACCCAGCTCATCCTAATGCGTTGGCTCCACGAAAGCGACCGTACCACACAATCATTCCTGCGCTGATTACCAATTGCTCAGATGGCTCTCTTCATTCTGTTTACGGGGTCATGGGTGGTTTCATGCAGCCACAGGGCCATGTGCAGGTTCTTCTCAACATGCTTGCGTTCAACTACCACCCTCAAGCAGCGCTGGATGCTCCACGGATCTGTATCGCGGCTGACTCTGAGCCTGGCAAGCAGACTGTCTATATCGAGGAGGGTATTAGTGACGAAGCGATTGAAGGCCTCAGGCGGCTTGGCCATCACGTCAAGGTCCTGACCGGGTGGCAGAGGGGAATGTTTGGTCGCGGACAGATCATTCGCTGTCATCACGACGATGGCCAGTTAGTCTACAGTGCGGGGAGTGACCCCAGAGGAGATGGGATGGCGATCCCTGCAGTATGAAATGATTGACTCAGCTTCCTGATACGCATGAGTGGACGAACGTGGACCTTTCGCAAATCTCGTCTCTGAAAGATAGACTTGCAAGGTGATTAAGCCATCTTGTAGCAGTGGATGCCAGTGTCTCCCCAAGCTTCAAAATATTGCTAATTTCCGCATGGCCCAAGTGTAATCGTGTAGTTCCCTGTGATATCGTTTCCTATGCTTGTTACCACTCTAGATGACCAGCTTTTAGCATCAATCGGCTTCTTGTGGACGCCGATATAGCGAGGTACTCTCAAGATTGCCTAAGATTATTTCTGATCAATGGTCTTCATTTGCTGTCAAAGGTAATATGCCACGTCAAAAATAATAGGTACCTTGCATATCGACGAATCCTTCCTATCGAATATGGAGTGGACGCGGAGACTGAGACCCCTCATTGATCTCCCAAATTCTCAGCACAGTTGTGCATAACTGAGGATTTCCTTTACAGAAACAATATAATTGATGGCTCGGCTTTTAAATAAGTAGTCATTACGAGAGAGTTTGAGACATCGCCGAATGAAATACCGGAGGAGAAGTGGGCATACTGACCGAACCCAAGCGAACTGTGTATTCGGGCTTCCCAGAACCATAACTTACCCCGCCTCGAACCTAGGTACTATATAAGGCTTTGCGCCTCGATTCGCGGACGAGCTGGATTCGAGCAACATTGAAGGCCAAACCGCCACAGACTCCGTTTTATCTCATTCATGTCGAACGACCCCAACCTCCCTTCCAGTATCCCGGAATTCCTGGCCGGATACAAGGAGAATTACGTTGAAGGATGGGCTGAGCTCTGGAATAAGAGTAACGGTAAACCTCTCCCCTTTGACAGAGGATTTCCCAATCCAGCATTGGAGGATACCTTGATCGAGAAGCGCGATATCATCGGAAGCCCCATTGGCCGAGATGCGCAGGGCAACACGTACCGGAAGAAGGCATTAGTTCCGGGGTGCGGAAGAGGTGTCGATGTACTCCTCCTAGCCAGCTTCGGGTATGATGCATACGGTCTGGAATATAGCGCCACTGCCGTTGAGGTCTGTAAAGAGGAACAGGCAAAGAACGGGGATAAGTACCCTGTACGGGATGCGCAGATTGGTCAAGGCAAAATCACCTTCGTGCAGGGTGATTTCTTCCAGGATACTTGGTTGGAGAAGCTGCAATTGCCTCGCAATTCTTTCGATTTGATCTACGACTACACGGTATGTGGATCTCATTGTCCAATGCAACCGGCCTGGTTTCTATTTTCTTTCTCAGGAGCAGAGTCAGCTAGCTTCTATATCGCAGTACTGTGGTTTTCTCGCTAAACTGGTGTGTTTGATAGTTCTTTTGCGCCTTGAACCCGTCAATGCGCCCGCAATGGGCGCTCAGACACACCCAGCTTCTGGCAGATTCGCCGCGTGGGCATCTCATTTGCCTTGAATTTCCAAGGCACAAGGATCCGTCACTACAGGGCCCTCCATGGGCCTCTACGTCCGAGGCTTATATGGCACATCTGAGCCACCCTGGCGAAGAGATCCCATATGATGCAAACCGTCAATGTAGCGTTGACCCATCAAAAGCGCCAAGCCCACAGGGGCTTGAGCGAGTGGCATATTGGCAACCAGCTCGGACGCATGAGATAGGGAAGAATGCGGAAGGAGAGGTCCAAGACCGAGTATCGATATGGCGCCGCCCGAACTAGCTCATCAATTCTTTTGTTCCTTGTGGCGGTAATTCGGGACCCTGACAACGATCCTGAGACGCTTAAGAGCAATTAGCAGATTTGAGAACCAGATATCAAATCGCACGTTTCTCCCTTGTAGAATGGCTGCTCTATGATTGTTTCGTAAGTGCATTATAATGCTCTCCAAGCCCGTATGTATGCCGGTAGTATGCCAACCAGATTACCCGCTTATTTCTTTCCTCCTCATCAATTCCATCCATATCTCCGGCATCGATCTTCTCTATCCTGCCATCGCCCTGAATGACATTAATGGTAACTCCATACGCCCGAGCGATTGCCTGCAGCTCCAGCTGTCCTCCCCACTCCGCCGTAAGCTTGATCTTCCGTGTATACGAATCCAACGGTTCCTCCATAAAGGGCTCGAAGTCATCCTTGTGCTCGACGATGAAATCCGCTGCCACTGCTCGAACCGCTCTGTAGCCATCATGTTTGGGCGAAGCAACCGTATCAATCCGAGACTGTGTCTGGGGCTGAATGACTATCCTTTGTGGATCAGGCCTTAGCCCAAGCCCTGATTCCTCCAACTGATTGGCAATAGCTGAGTACAGACAGTGACCATCTGGGTTGATTTCCACCTCTTTCAAGCCGAGTCGTTTGTAAACAGCCTCCATCACCTCCTTTTCGTTACCACGATGGTCAACCTGCTTTGCGGCCTCTTCTGCGGCGAGCGCCGACTGAGCCGCCTGTTCCGCTGCCCGACGTGCCAGACGAGCCTTCTGTCGATTCGGTTTCTTCGTGCGCGGCGCTGAGGCAGGTGGGGATGTCGCAGTCGAGTCGATCGTTGAAGGCTCCGGGAGGCTGTCTGTGCCTTGTGTATCATCTGGTCTTGGTTTATCTGCTGTATCTGCATCTTCAACATCGGCACCGTGAAGCCTAAGGTCCTCGAAGCCATCGACTGGCTGGATAGGTTCGCCGTTGAGCGCTGCAATTTCGGCTTGGTGCCGATCGGAGAGCTCTCGCTGTAGCCTCTCGCATTCCTCGTTTATTCCTCGACGTGTCTTCTTTGTAGCTGATTTCTTCTTCTGTGTGATGCGCGCCTGAAGATCTTTCTGCTCCTTGCGATGTTTCGCTAATAGCTCTTCCATTTTTAGATGAACGCAGGCAAGATGCAAGGTAGAGCGAAAAATCTATAATCCTGGGGTATGAGAGCAGGACTAAACCAAGTAAATATGCGAGAATGTAAATGCAATTAATTAAAAGGTGCTGAAAATCGACAATGCTATCTATGGTACCAACGCCATACCACAGTAGAACAACTGCAACTCAAGACAATTTATCATGAAACAGCACTTGCCCCCCCACAAGCGCCCAGACGGCCCTGGATTTTCCTAGAATAGGCATAGCACCCAAGTGTCGGTGCTTCTGTTGTTCCTGCTCCGAACAGCCTCGGTATTCTTCGCCAAGCCGTGCAACAGTCTCTCGGTCGTCGGATAAGCATCGTAGCTAGACTATATGAGGAGGCATTCCTCGCCTCGACCATGGTGAAAGACACATCTCCCTTGAAAGCTTCTTCGGAACTCATTCCCTTCATTCGTTTCTTTTTTCTCGCCTTAGATTCACTTTGACACTATTGCCATGGATACCCAGAGTCTCTTCAATGTGGAGGTTAGTACTGGTGCTCTTCGCTTGCGCCGCCAACATTTTGCATATTGCTAACAATTATGTAGGGCAAAGTGGTGCTGGTCACCGGCGGAGCCAAGGGCATTGGGCGCATGATCTCTGAGGGTTACGTCACCAACGGCGCAACAGTTTACATCTCGTCCCGAGATGCCAAGGCTTGCGAGAAAGCCGTGCAGGAGCTGAATGCTATTGGCCGGGGAAAGGCGTATGCTATTCCCGCGGACTTCTACAAGGAGGAAGAATGCAAGAGGCTAGCTGAGGAGATTGCCAAGCGCGAAAGCAGTAAGTTGGTTTTGGGAGCCCTGCTCAGGCGGAATGCTAATCTCATGCTCTATCAGAGCTTCATGTCCTCGTGAACAACTCCGGGTCAAACTGGGGTGCTCCTTACGATGAATATCCCTCGTCTGCCTGGACCAGAGTTCTCACCCTGAATCTTCAACGAGTCTTTGATCTCACCAAGCTCCTTACGCCTCTTCTTGAGAAGGCTGGTGCGCCGAATGATCCAGCTCGTATCATTAACATCGGTAGCATCGATGGGCTGAGAGTTCCGGCTCTAGAGACGTTCGCATACAGCGCTAGCAAGGCTGGCTTGCACCATCTGAGCCGTGTCCTCGCACATCACCTTGGCAGGAGGAATATCACGTTCGTACACCCTATGCTGATTCCGTGGCTCAAAGAAGGCAACTGACATAGCTTTCCGCAGATCCAACACCCTGGCTTGCGGTCCCTTCGAGAGCAAGATGATGGCCGCCACGTTGGACAAATTCCGGGATGCTATCGAAGGTGCTATCCCACTGAGCCGTATTGGCACGCCTCAGGACGTCGCTGGTGCTTGCCTTTTCCTCAGCAGTCGGGCCGGCGCGTACATCAATGGTGCGACGATCACGGTGGACGGTGGTAGCGCGATTGCTGCGAAGATGTAGACAACATACACAACCAGCTTAGCGCAGACTAGAAAAGCAAAAATGTTCGAATGGACACGCTTATTATGACCTATTCAAGGCGTTGCCGAGTTTTATCTCAGACCATTCCCTTGGCTGTAGCTGCCTTCCACTGTTATGAACAGTTGAGCAGGGGTAGCATGCAACAAGCCTTGGCCTCTGGCATTAATAATAGCTAAACAGGGTCAAAGATATCCACATGGCTAATCTAACTTATGCACTTCAGTCGATCTCTAGAAGTTTGCATGATGCCTCTGTCCGCGAGATAGTCACCCTTACCCAGTATTCAGAGAGCGTAATATTGCCTTGGAGTGGATAGACCAACCCGACTCCCCAGCATCAGCGAGTCAACTGAGCAGATCTTCATATGCCATCGTGCCGTAAAAGTTGTGATAGGTAAATGCCTGTCTCACCTTGACCGACTTGAGATTTTCAGGTTGACAGATCGTCCTTTGCGGTGGGCAGCGTGTCCTCGCCGCCGTTTTTCAGGCTGCTTGGGCACACCATACGAGAGCTTCGGCCTTCAATCTCGCAGAAGTGAACCCTGCTGTTCAATTCAGCTTACTAATCATGATGCACATTTCGATTTCTCCGATTGCCATCAGCATCCGTGCATCGAATATATACGAAGAACCTGCTCTTGAGCTATATCCCTCTAATCGGGATGAGCTGGATGAGAACGATGGGACTGATTACGCGCTAACACATATGAGCAATCAACTCAGCTTTGATCTTTGGTATATTTTTCTTAATATATTCTGTATCTGTGCCACTGAGGCACGGAGAATCATGGACCCTATGGAACCTGTTCTTTTCCAGTCTTGTTTCCGTTTTAGAGCTCGCACCACTGACTTCTTGCAGGCCTTTAGCGTGTTTGCCATTTTCTTTGAGGTTGTCTCTGCATAGTGAGTACAGTATCTATTCCTTGCCTTCCGGAGATGTCTGATCTATTGCAGTGGAAACGTTGATCTCAGTCTGGGATACCCAATGTGACAACCTCATTCTGTGGATAGTTTAGCGTTTTTGTCAAAATCGTCAACTGTGCCATGATGATACGAGGACGCCATCGCTGGCTACCAGTTCAACTTGATCGTGCGATACTGCTTCCTGGTTAATCCCCTGCGGGAGATGACAGACTCGTTGCTGGGTCTCCTGCTGGACGTCGATCTCAAACGCGGAGCAGTTTTAGACGATACCATACAAAATAGTGAAGCGGCGTGGTGATATGGAAGAATAATCGAGGAATGACATCTCCAAGCAAATAGCTAGAATTTATATTGGATTGTTGTTGTTGATACCTCTGGTAAAGGCCTTAGATCTATCATATGCACCCGTGGTCGACACTGATAAATTTTATTCAACCGTTTGATCGTAACCAACCGATTTCGATGCATTTCCCTCTTATTCTTCGCTCGGATCTGTTACTTATGATTTGTTGATTCGATAAGATTTAATTTCATTCTGCCCCTCCCCGTCCATTTGCACGTTCTCGATTCGAGCAAATCCTTGTCAAGACTGCTATCGATAACTTTCTTTGACTCTGTGGATACCCTATCTACAGGCTACGAAAGATACTAGTAGTGATGAGCGGCAATGATGTAGTGATGGATCCCTGTGGAGCGGCGACATCATCAGTTCACTTATGCCGTCATACCAGCACAATGAACCTCTTTATCTATCATTGTCGGAGTTGAATTGTCCAGGAATTACTCAGAAAGTCCAACTTCGGAAGTCACTTGGACAGGAAAAAGAAAGAAAAACCAAATCAAGCGGAATCCGAAGAAAAAAGCAAAACAAAAATAACAGTGTATCCCCCCACGGAGCACGTTGTCATTCCTCCGTCCGTACTCCGTCGTCTGTGGTAACTAATAATTGATCGGTGTGGCCAATTTGTGTGGAACTCCCTTTTGTCTATCTTTTACCCTTCGTCATTTATCACTGAGAACTTTTCACAGTGTTGCAATCTGGAATTTAGACACCCAGCATCATAGCAATTTTTAAGGGGCACAGAAAGAACGCCACGGACGACTTTTGGCGCGGTCATTGATCTCGCTTTACCACGTTCAGCCCAACAATCCTTGCTCTGATCATTATTTTAGCCTTTTGACTCCGAGATCCCCTTCCATTTATTCTTCCACGACCAACAGACGATGAGCTCGAATACACAGCATCGACGAACGAATTCTCTCGATCCATTTTCTGATCCTGACGTTTATTATGGAGACGAGGACTCAGTTGCGCGGATTCGGGACCGCAGGCGTGCGTTTTCTTCGGTGAGTTACAACATGCTTACCAGAGAGATAGGAGACCGGGGCATTTTGCTGAACGATCTCGGTAATACGTAGACTTTGAAAGCATTCAACCGCGAGGATATCCAGGACCTTCTGGGCAAGATTC